GGAAGAGGTGCAGCGCTGCTCCAGGAGACAATCTTGAAGCAGAGACTGATTCCTTTACAGCATGTTCAATCTTCTAGCTCCCCTGTTTTCCAGTATGAAAACGACAGGCTAGTGAAAGCCAAAGCAACGTTCATGCAAACAGCTGCATGTGTTGGTGTTACGGCCCTAGCAGGGCTTCCTCCTGAAGGTGCCTGTGTGGGCGTGTCCCACTACCTCTTCTGCCTGAGGTGTCACCTTTCCCTTTTGTGCAGCCGACTCTCGTCAGTAATTAAGGAGATTTAAGCCCAGGGAAAGGTGAGCTCTGGGCCAGAGTGCCATGTGAGTGGTTACAGCTAGTGAGCTGTGTGTGTTTGCAGCTAGTGAGCTGTGTTTTTTGTGGTGTTTGCAGCTAGTCCGTGTTTGCAACTAGTGAGCTGCACTCTTTTTGACTGTCTTTGTACTTTATTGACCAACGCTTGAGTTTTGTTTGTTTCTTTAAATGGTGATAGCGGCTTGTCCGTCTCTTTTATTTAGTATTAATAGAAACTTTAATAAAACTCTTTAATTTAACCATTTTGCCTCTGTCTCCTTTTTCTGACCCAGACACTTTTTGTTACTTCCCCCTCATCGCCTAGACCCCTTAGGGGAACGTAACAGTTGGTCATTTGATGTAAAGATAATTTAATTTACTTTAAGCTTGTGTCTGCACCAGTATCTGCACTAACAAAGCTAACGTGGGAATGAGTTCGAGTCAATCTCAAACCAGGAAATTAATACATTTGTTTATTTTATATTCTTGACAAAACTGTACAAACTACAGTTCTTATTCCTATGAATATTCATTCCTGAACAAAGACCATTAAAGCTGTACATTTGGAGAAGAAACTGTAAGAGTGACCCTCCATTTGAAACTATTTCCTCGGGTCTCAGTTCAGCATTTTCACTAATGAGGTTCTGGTCTACTTGCTTCTTCCGGGCTGATTGTATTGATTCAGTTTATCACAGCACACAACCTGACTCATAATTTTTAGGAGTGAGCAGCAGAGAACAAATTAATGCATTGCTTTTCAATTCTGCCATTTTATGACAACTGAAACCTGCTGATGTACTACATCAAACTGCACTCAGATTTTACCACCTCAGGAAAATCAATGTGCTAAAAATATGCGACAATGAGTCATTCATAAGTGGGAAATAAGGTGTGAAACACTATGCTCAAAGTTTTATTTATAACATATTTAATAATGAGAAAAAAAAGAGAGCACACCACCTGGATTAGAAAGGACTTCACAAGTGTTAATAAGCCTTTGGCTGCAAACAGTCTTTCTATACCTTCCAATTACATCAAACAAATATGATGGTGTCACCACTTCTTATGTGTATCTGCTTGTTATGCTGGAACCAAAGGCACCAACCACAAACACAGCTACTCAAATCAGCCGAGGTGAGTCCGAGGTGGCAGCTAGCGGCTGTTGGCATGACAGTGTGGCTGTGACCCTTAATTAAAAACAGGTGATTGAGAAAGAAAAGGCCCTCCTTTACAGTTGTTATTAAAGAATGAAATCAGAGACAGAGACCAAAGCAGCTCATTATAACTGGGCTATAAATCATTGGAAGTCAATGGAGGTTGACTCGGTTTTGTAGAGCCCCAAGTAGCCATTAGTAAATAGTCAGAGTAAATTATTACACATAACAAATGTTAGGAATATCTGTTTATGTTTAATGTGCCTGGTAAAAAACAAAAAAAGGCCAATTTATCAGATTCTTAAATGAAGAAATATCGGCATTGCTTTTGGTCTTAAACATCCCTTATCAGTTGGACTCTAGTACAGTTAAATCGAGTTAGTATTCTGGAGTCAATCAAATTTTCACTTTAGGATTTTTGTAGTCTGAAAATGTAGCAAAGACCAGCAGTCAAATTTAGAAATTGCTTTGAAATACTGGCCTTTTAATTAAACTCAAAATACAAATACATGGATGTAAGAGTACCTGTACCTACTTCTGATATTATCATGACATGATATCAATTTTTCCATTTTTATTTTTTAATGCATGCTTGTTATTAGGAGCCTAGTTTCAAGCAAAGTTGAGTGTGCCACAAGAAAACAGTCTATAAGACATGAAGCATGCAGATATTTTGTCACATATAGCAGGATTCTGCATTTTCATTTTTGGGAAAATACTACAGAAATTATGAAAAAAAAATAATTATACGTGGTGATCCTGAGATTGCTTGAAACATTAAGTCAGAGATTCACCACATTTCTTATTTCAGCTGCTCCCTCCATCTCCCCATCCCTAGTATCCTCCTCTGTCACACTGACCTTTCGCATGTCTGCCTTCACTACAAGCTTACCTCAAATGAAACACATTGGGCCCTGTCAAAGTCAAGCAGGGTCTCTACACATGCAAGCAGAAGAGTGTGTGTTGCCTTAGTTAACAGAAGTTTTTCTGTCCTTTCTGGCCATTTTAAAATGAATTTTTAAGCTTGAATAGTAGTGTGTTCTTATCACGGTGCTGGTGATTTTCCTTTTGGTAGAAATCCAAAACCTCTTTGCTGTGCATCAAAGTTTCATGTGCAAGAAAAACCCTTCAATTGCGCATCCAACTATTATGTTGTTAGAGACTTAAGAGATCAATCAAAAACCAGAGCTTTTTGGTTGTGGGGGGTTCACAGCTGTCTTATAGGATCAAGTCTGAATGCTGAAGTTAATCATGCTTTTGCATCCAGAGCCAAATGTTCTGCACAGCATGAGGAAACTTGTGCGAGCTCACACTCACACACAAAATAGGGCTGCTTCAGAAGCTGTTTTTAGGTACACTGCTATGACAAATGGGATGGTATCAGTTAAGCCTCTCTCTGATGTTTGCTTAACATTTAGGGTGCGCACATTTTTATTTTTACCTCCCTCCTTCAGGCTTTTTCTGGCACATTTTTCCTAAACAGACGGACACTCACAGGGAAAACAAATGCAGTGGAGTGGCATCTAAAAAAACTAACAGTCTACTGAATAAAACCTGAAACTGACTGAGAGGTGTACTGAAGGATAGACAGAGCAGGGGTTACGCTGAGGATGGATGGTCAGTGACCCATTTACCTGCTAGGGCAGAGCTCACGCTGGTGGATCCATTCAGCTGCACAGAGATGGAAGGAACACTGGAGGGCAGGAAACAGAGACGGTGACATTCAGTCAACAACAAAAAAAGCAACAATGAACCAGACAGGAAGAACCGTTTTAGTTTTAGTTTTCAATGCAATCAGAGAAAAGGAAAAGCTTTGGCACTAGAGCCAGAAGCAAGAAAATTAAACCTGTCAGGGAGTAACTGCATAGGGCTTATTTACCTTTACTGACTGTCTCCAGCTCAGTGAATGACTAATTATCCATGTCTAAGACTGATTAACAACAACTCAGCAGTGACTGCATGTGCACAGAGCAACCAGGGAGCGTGACTCTGCAGTCAATATACAGATGGATATGTGCCCAATGAATGTGTTTACTTTGCAACAGTAGAAAAAGAGGCAGCTGTCAGTCCTCGAGTATGATGGAGCGCTAAACTAAATCCAGTTAAAGGGCTGCAAAAAGGCAACACTGACTCAGTGGTGAGGTGGTAGTGGTCTATTTCTGTAGCCAAAGAGCTCTGTGCACTACAGTCTGAACAACATATTGCTTGAATGAATATGGGCTATGACAGCATGTCCGCAACTGTAAAAATAAAGATAGTAATACAATTGTTCATTAAGTTAAACATAAGTGTACAGTGACTGAGATTAAACTTTTAAATACAATTCAAATGAAAAACAAAATAAAGGAATTGAAATACAGGTGAGGATGATGCTGGTTCCAGACTAACGGATGTTTTTGACCATGCAGTTCGTGTTACAAGGGCACCCGCCAGGAAATTTGCTGGCACAGATGGGGCGAAGCGAGCCCCAGGCGGCACAGTGACCCAGGAGAGCCACACAGCGAGCAACAGAGAGCTGAAGCCGGCTGCCAAAGAGGGAGAACACCACAGGCAGCCGTGCCCCAAAAGGGTGGAGTTACTCAATGGACAGGAAGCTTGCAACATTTTTTTCAGTCATAAAAGACTTGGCAATTAAAGTACTTGAAAAGGAGTATTATGATGTACTATTACACAATAATAATTATTTTTTCATGCATCGGTGCGCCTTCTTTTAGCATCCACATCCAGGAGTTAAAAAAATTAAATTAAATACATGGCAACCATTTCTCTTTTTAAAGCATACACCTCAATGAGAAATGTGAAAGTGTGGGCTTTAGTGAATGTAAACATTCACCGCAAAAATTTAGACAATTCTTTTGTCTACTGAGCAACCATGTTTTTAATACACTAGTTTTCATTTCTAGTGGCTAAAACTCAGCGTGCAAAAAAATTAAAGCCCAGAGAAGCTGCAAGTGAACTAGATATTTATTATTCCACTGAATTAAGCACTTTGTCCTGTAAGTAAGCTTTCTCTGCTAGCTGGAACAAAAGGAAGGGAGGTCAGTGATGACACAGACAAGAGTCACAGGAAGTGAGCCAAAGCAAACATACCAATGAAGTACTGGAGCTACAGATCTGTTTTTTTTTCTGCCTTTCCTGTTTTACAAGAAAGGTCAACACTGACAGAGGCAGGAAAGACAAAGAGGAAGAAGAGGAAAGCAGATAGAGGACCTTGTAACATGAACCCTGCACATCTATCCAAATCACACAATCTAGGATAGGTGTCAGATACCAACCTTAACCCATTGGCACTGGTAGAGTTGGTCAGAGGTGCAGAAAGTTGACTGCCAGATGTCGGTGGAGCCCAGGGGCTGCCCCAGGACATGCCACCAACTGAGAGAGGTCTCCTGGGGTATGGGGAGTAGACAGAAGTAGGATGAGCCGCCACAGCCCTTCCTGTACCTTGAAGACTAGGCCGGTTCAGACTCCCTGACGAGAAGGAATGTCGCGAACGGCTCGGCATGGGTCCGGTGCTGCTGTGGCTTAAACACTGCTGGCAGGAGCAGGCGGGGCCCGAGGGGATAGCTGGGGGTCCGGAAGAAGCCAGCGGGTAGGGGAGGTTGCACTGGCGTCGCACCTGGCGTCTGAAACCCGTCGATTTGTTAACCTGCGCCAGAGATGTGAGATCCACTATATAATTGTATCCATGCGGGCCCAGATCTGCTGTGCCTTGGCGAGCCTGATAGCTGTGCTCCAAAAGGATAGAGGTTCGCGTCTCATATGGGGTCCATCCTCCTTCATCGTTGGCCCATTCCCAGTAAACACCACTACCAAGGCCGGAGGACTGGGCAAACAGAGACCGGCGTACTGACCGGGTCTTACCTGAAAAGAAAAGAGGCACATTGATTTTTAGTGAATAAACGGAATTAAAACTGCAACGTTGTGTGTGTGTGTGTGTGTGTGTGTTATGTTTTTAAGACATAAACGAAAAGCCCCTTGTTCATTCACTTGTATGCCAGAACTAATGACACATTACATACATGGCTATGAGTTAATTTAAAACACACATATACACACACAAAATTATGACAGTTTAAGACACACCAAGCATCTTTAGATGTTAATCTCACAATGTTGTGACGTATTTCATGATTTGTAGCTAGGTTCACGTAAAAATGTCGCTAAAGAACTGTAACTTTATGGATACTTCTCAGCTTATATCAATCATAACAACAGCGCCCCTGCAAGCTAATGCTAGCTGGCTAACGTTACACAAACCGGGCCTGTGAGGTTTGAGGCAAAAACGTTAACGAGGAATAAACGTTAAGGTCATGCCATGGCGTGTTAGATATGTTTACCTGTGTCCTGTCGAAACTGCTTCAAGCTTGGTATGTCAATGAGGTAAGGCGACAGGCTGGGGTCTGATTGTCCGAGACAGATGCTCGTAGAGCCGGGTGCTCCTCCTCTGTGGCCCCGCGGTGACAGACATCGCTCGATGTAGGCGCTCACCTGGCCGCTGTAAGGCCGCCAGTAACCCTGGTCATCCTGCCATTCCCACACCGCTATCATGGGCTGAGACTGCCCGACAGATCCAGAAGGTGTAGCTGACACAGGAGGCCCGTTTCTAGACCCGTTTACCCTGGCACAGGACCCAGACACAATTGCCATATTCGCCAAAACTAGCCCGAAGCTAACAACAACTCGTTCTGGTTAGCTAGTCAACCGTTTGTCACTGCGACGAAGACAAAGTGTGCTAGCTGGGCTAGCTTGGCTCGTTAAAAAATTCCATTGTGAATGTGTTAACGCGCCTTTGAGGAAGCTATGAGGTAGGTATCAGTTGGTAAACACTCCAGATAAACACCTAAGTACATGTTTGCGAAGCTGATGCATTCACACGGTTTAGCAGTACATGGTTAACGTTAGCTTTGTTGCGGCGTTGCCAGGAATCCGTCCTTCTTCTGCCGCTGCGTTCATGGACCGTCGGTAATATCACTACTCAGCTCGTCTCAATCTGAAACAGAAAACGTACAGAAACTGCATGTTTCCCTTTCTGAAAGCTGTATTTATTTTAGACCACAGTGACACAGACTATGACTGTATTTAATATCCTTTTTTGTTGTAATTTTTTGTTTTCAATTCGGTTTCCGGAGCTAAACCGTCATTTTAGTTTTGTTTTTATTGTTTTAGAATGCTCAGTTTTAGTGTATTTTTCTTTAATTTTTTAGGTTAAGTATTAGATTCATTTTTTTATTTAAAATGTAAAGGGTGGTATATGTCAGCAGCAAGATTTAGGGCAAAAATTACAATACAGCGATAGAAATACTTGACACAGAGACAAGCAGACATTCCAGTATCAATAGACACAGGCACCAATGCCCCATCACAAAATTTATATTTTATACTACGAATTAAGTAAGTAAGTAATTATTGCTTCACTTAATTTTTTTTATGTGTGTAAGTGAAATCTCATCAAATACATCTAATGTCTTTTTGTGAAATGAAATTGTGATTAAAATGTTTCCGGGTGAAATCTGGAGCCGCAAAGATCTGGGATTTTTATTTTTTTTTAATCTCAGCCGATAACACGCAGACAGTCTTCGTTCTTTGGCTCAAGTGGTGGTGCAAAGCGATGATTTATTTAAGGCATTGCGGGGGTGGGGGTTGGTAGTTCTTAAGGTGGAGCACCATTTCTCATGTCAGATGATTAAAACAAAAGCTTTTTGTGCACACCTCACCTCTAAAATTTTCACTTACAAGGTGCGCATGAAGGTTGCATTCTTCTTCTTTCACACTATCCCCCTCTTCTTTCCCTGCTTCTGTATTCAAAGGAGATTAGAACCCCATCAGTAGTATTTCTGCCCTCAACTGGAGATAAATGGGTATGACACAAATAAGTGCATATGAAAATCTACCAAACGGCCTTCTAAAACCACAGGCTGGTTGCTTGAGTAATTACTAATTATTAACCAGACACCACTAAACTGAATGCTGCCCAAAATTCCAGTGCTAGCAGGTATAAGACAAAAGATGGCGATAAATGGCTTTGTGATTCATCTGCCACACAAACTAGATTATTACTGGATCTAGTTTGTAAGGATGGTGTTCATTAAATTCTGCTACATGATAATAGAACTAGACAGTTCTGACACCAGTGTGAACATTGATTAAAGTAGTGGCCAAATGGGATTTGAGCTTTCCCCTTAGCCCATAAAGTGACATATAATCAATAGCCAAGCCCATGCCAAGTAGTTTCAAAGTGACAAATGTAATAATAATAACTAATAAAGACGAGGATCTGATGTTTCAATATAAAAATAAAACCATTCATCTATGGTTTTTCTAATGTAACTAGAACACATTGTCTCCACAAAAATGACAGTAAAAAATGATGCAAGCAGCCATTATTCGGTTTGAAGACGGAGTCAAATGATTTAGCAGTGAGAACATTGCTTTGAGTCATCTTTTTCTGAGGTCTGCTCTTAAAGTCCTGCAGTTTAAATGTTTTCAGATTTATCAGTGTTAAATTAATTTATGGCATCTGATGTTCTTGTTATTTTTCGTCTTTGTTTTGCGTGCAACAAGAACGCAGAAACACTGTAAAACACTGTAAAACACTGGAACATTTGCAGTCCCTATGCCCGCATGACATAGAAACTTTTTTTAATAAATCTATCTGTGCACACAGTTTTGGTTTTATTAGCTGAAGTTGTGAAATATGCATTTGAGATTTTTTTGCCTTCTTCCTCAGTACAATGAAGGTAACTGGAGCTTTGTTTGTGGTGCCTGCAGCAATAAGAAATGACATTTAAAAATTTAACAGGAACAGAAGCAGTGTCCCTGCAATAATCCACAGGCATCACTATGATTAGGTTTCTAGGGGCGGTTTTCTCTCTTTCTCAGCCCACTTAAACAATCATGGTTGTAGCTGAAGGTCACACGCTTCTTAAAACTGAGAAAATAGAGTTGAACGAGAGCCACAGTCCATTACCGTGATTCTGTAAATAAGGAAAATAAATTTTAAAAAAGCATGCTTAGGCACAGTGACTAGTTTGTGCCCACCTTTTAGGCCTGTGACAGCAGGGATGGGCTCCAGCATGCCTGTGACCCTCAGCTGGATGAGAAGTTAAGAAAATGGAATAATGGAGCAAAGGAGCTTAAAGCTCCAGCAATACTTTTAGAATACAGAACAATTTCATTCTTTGACAGACGTATTTTGACTTGGGGCCTTCATCACGGTCATCACAACACAAATTACAGACAACATTTTAAGGAGAGTCAAAAGGATGAGCAAAGCTGCCCGCATGTCTGCTGTTTCCTGTGATACAGGATCAGAGTCTTGCACTTAAAAAACATTTTTAATCATTAAAAAAATAAAATTAAAAATGACTTTGTCACAACTAGCAGATGAACCTGCTATCAAAATGCAGGTAAAAAAAAAAACACCTTTCAAATACTACTTTTCAAATTATTATTACTAGTTTTTTGAGTTTTCTCCAGTGAATGATCAGAAAACAGATTAAACATTCACAAACATTAAATTCGTTTTGCTATTGAACTATGATATATCTCGTGATGCTCAGAAATTATTATTGAGGTCTTGCATATGCGTGACCACAAACCACACATGGTGTTAATACACCAATCTGATTTAATCATTTAATTATGAGTTATTATTAATCTCAGGCTCTCTTCCACAGCATGTCTTTTTTCCTGTCTTCCTCCCCTCAGCCCCAACCAGTCACTGCAGATGGCCGCCCCTCCCTGAACCTGGTTCTGCAGGAAGTTTCTTCTTTGTTAAAAGGGAGTTTTACCTTCCCGCCGTTGCCAAAGTGGTTGCTCACAGGGAGTCATCTGATTGTTGGGGTTTCTCTGTAATATTTCAGGGTCTCCACTGTATAATATTAAGCACCTTGAGGTGACTATTGTTGTGATTTGGCACTATATAAATATCATTTAACTGAATTGGAATTACTGTTAACCATGTCATGTAGGATGCGTGTCAATCAGTGTAATAACGAGTGAATTAGGCCCCAATCAGACAGGCCTAGATACCTGTCTGCAATTGTCTGGCAACCACTCGTTGCTAGGGAAGTTGCACCTTTTGAGACATGTTGGCTGCACCTTGAGGCAGACTTTCACACTTTTTGATGTTGTACTACCACTTTGCTACCAGTTATAGAGTATTCGAGGAAACCGTACAATCAGCTAGCAACAAAAGATTTTTTATGCAGCACCTTCTTTGCAACTAATTTCACCCACCGAGAGCTAGTAACCTCTAGCTACTAATGCCATTCAGCGGGGATTATACATTTTCTGTAGCAAACAGTAGTTGCATAATGTATAGCAGACAAAATGTGCTAAACAAAAACTAGATTCTTGCTTTAGATCGTGACATTTAGATCGTGAAATGCAATGTAAGCATTTCCAGTACTTACAAGATAATGAGGACACAATGCTGGAAAAATTAATGCAAAATAATGCAGTTGAAAAGCACAGCGTTTAGATCCATTGCTCTGTAGTCTACAATTTGGAAATGCCATTTATGGCTGCTTTGGTGCCATTCTGTATGCAAACTTGCTTATAGCATTTACAGCTTTAGCATGGTGTGAGCATTTATTACATTAAACATATACATAAACCTTATTAAATAATGGCTGATGTACATTTGATATTAATAACGGATCTTAGACGCGTGATTTTTACTCAGCCACTATGAAATAGTCACCTGCACTTATCAGTGTTAATAAATCATGGATTTCATAATTCATCAAGTCTGCAGTTGTAAATGCTAATAAGCAGCTTATAAATGGATTTTGGTCCAGATGTCTTGCAGACCTTTACAAGAAGATAAGTGATCAAATGGTGAGTTGTAAGGGAGAATTAAATAGCAAAGGGCTGTGATCCATGAAGGATTTGATCACAAACTTGCAAGTTTAAACTGATCTGTTGGGTATGGGAAATGTTGTATTAGCTATTTCTACATGTTTAAATAAAGTTTAAAAATCTTGTGAACAGATACAACTATGCACACTTTTTACATGGTATTTGTTGTGGTAGTATCTATGCTGCCTCATTTGATATACAAACAAACCCAGTTTTGAGAAAACTGGGACACTGTGTGAAAAAAATTAAATATGATGCAATAAATGAATAAACAAATGCAATTGTTTGAATATCTGATTAACTCACACTTTATTCACAATGGAACAAAAAACCCACAGAAATCAAATGTTAAACTGAGAAAGTGTGACATTTTAGGAAAAGTATTAGCTCATTTTGGATTTGATGCCAGCAACATGTTTCAAAAAAGTTGGCACAACAAAAGGTTGGGAAAGTGAGGGTTGGTTAGAAGAACATCTTAGAGAGGCAGAGGTTCACCAATCTGCAATAAACCGATGTATAAATTGTTGAGCAGTGTCAGAATAATCTTACTCTGTATAAAATGTTACATACACAACCCTTAAGAGTGCAAAACATCCTATAAAATAGATACATACATACAGACTACAGAATCATTGGTATTTTGTGATGTTGTGGCTTCACTTGTTTTCCTCCTCTAAGTTTCACTTTCTTATGTTACAGTGTGCAACTTTCTAAAAGTTTACCATTTTATTTTCCATTACTGTATTTTTTGGACTCTAAGGCGCACTTAAAATCTTTTAACTTCTCAAAAATCGACAGTGTGCCTTATAATCCGGTGCACCTTATGTATCAATCCTGCTTGTCCTTACTGACCTCAAACTGACTTTGTGGTACACGGCGCTCAAAAATCTGTCAAACAACATTTTAGTACGACTTCGGTGAGCTTGATGGATTTTCGGAGCATTACGGCTACCATAGTCAGGAGCCCCACAGTGTAATCTGGGTCCAAAACTCCGTCAACTTCAGGTCCCAAAGTCAAACGAACACTGCGACACCACTGAGAGTTAAAAACTTTCTAAATTCTTTCATCTTTAATAAAATGATCA